TGTTATTTTATAGTGATCAACCTTGTCTATGGGTGGAGTGGTCGACTTCGGTAGAGTTTTGCTATAATACTACTTTCCACTCTTCTTTGGGCACCACACCTTTTCGGGTGGTGTATGGACATGCTCCTCTTTGTTTACTTATAGTGAAGCCTATTCTACTTGGATGGATGTAGTGGATCTTGCTTTACAAGACTAGGATAAAGTTCTTCGATAGGTCAAGCTTCGTTTACAATAAGCTAAGGTGCGTATGAAGCAAGTTTATGACAAAAATCATTATGAGGTGTCTTTTTTTTTTGGATAGTTGGTATGGCTGAAGTTACAACCTTATTGTCAAAATTCTATCAAATAGAGGTGCTTTCATAAGTTGGCTCCCAAGTTCTATGGTCCATTTCAAATTCTTCGAAATTAGGTTCCATAGCTTATGAGCTTTCTCTTATTATTAGTAGTAGAATTCATAATGTCTTTCATGTCTCTCTATTAAGGCCATTTACGAGTGTTACCCTCGGTCGATCCTTGTCCTTCCTCTCTTAATAGATGGTAAACTTATTCCTCAACATCAAACAATACTCGGCTTTAGACTCAATCGCGAGGTTTTTGAAGTTTTAGTTTAGTGGATATGCATACAAGTTGTTGATGCTACTCGGGAAGCAATTGCAACCTTAAAGAGACCTTTCTTACATTTAAGCTTGAGGACAAACTCATAGTCCGGGAGGGGAGTAATGTTGTGGATGCGTTTATGGGCAAGACTTACAAACGTAAAAGCAAGCTGCCAATGAAGCCTTAACTATTGTTTTCCTTTTTATGTATCTTGCTAATTACATAAGGCGAGTGATAGGGATGAAATAAGATTAGGAAAATATTCAGTCAATAAAACCTAGGAGAGTTGGTGGCCTCTAAAACAACCACCTATATGTTATCCGTTCACGATAGGTTCTTCATGGAAGAATTGAAACGTGAATAAGGGAAAGTTCGAGTAATTTCCTTATTAATAGACTCGTGAAGAGATCCGTAACTCGGGACCACAACATTTTCATTGCTAGATTATCCTTATATCTCTCTATTTTTATAAGCTATACGTAGGTGAAGTGTCAATAAAAACTCTCTTTGGGTTTAAAGTTTTGATGAATGGAGAGAAATCATGAGGCTATTTAAAGAGTATGGAAAAAATCATTGTAAATAAGATATTATATGGTCGATTGAATTAATCCACATATATTTCTATGACTTAATAAGGAGACACTTCATCTCCAACAACTATTTTCCCAAAGTAATTCATAAAAACAAAGGATGAGGAGGGCAAAACATCTATCAAACTCGGTAATCCCTTGAGAAAAAAAAAAAAACTATTTTGCCACCTCATTCCTCATGTTTATCTCTCCACTAGGAAAGTATCATAGACTTAAATAGAAACTTTTCCAAACTATTGATCAATCACTTAAATTCATCAAGAAATGGACTAAGTTTAAGACTAAGACGAGAATTTATATCACTTTCACAAAACATAGCTTTAGACCCTCTAGCGTAATGTGTCTAAAGTGTTGACGAAAATGAACTTGTGGCAACGTAAATAACATCAATTGCATAGAATATGGTAAAATAAGTAAGATTACGGACACTCGCTACCTCTTATGTATATCATTTATGGCGGAATGGACTTAACATTTTTTCTAAAAAAAGAACAAATTCCCATATGCTAAAACTCTTGTTCGAGGAAATTAGAAAGAATTTAGGAACCCTATATTACTTGCTTAGAAAAGGCCTTCTTGATAGTGCCCCAAATAGGAAGAATAAGGCCAGCAAATCATTTACTTACTGTTTTCTTTTGTCAACATTAAGAACTGCCAAGCTTACAATTAGGGCCATCGCAAAAAAAATTAACAATAAAATATGGTATAGAGAGAGAGAGAGAGATATGAAGAATTAGAAAAGATGTTTATCCATAAACTGATGGATGTTGAGGGAATTGTCAGTTCAAGAAGAAAATCATTGATCAAAGGGACTTATTAGGATTTTACCACACAAATGGGATTCAAGAAATCAAGTGGATAAGTAAAAAAAAACAAATGTCGGTGAATATGCATGATGCGCACCGTTCTCTTTGGCTTCTCTGCAATAGATAGTGGGACTCTTACGCACATCAATTATCAACAACATTAATCCATCCTAAACTCATCTTGCAGCAAGACCAATTTAGACACATACGGATGAAGAGAAAACTGACATCAAAGTACAAAAATATCACATCTTTCCCTATCCTAATGAAAATAGTTGCACATTATGAAAAATAAAATAGAAAATGCAAATAATTTTCATCACCAATTAAGCTATCATGTTTTGCTAAAACTAACATTGGCAAATGTATTCTATACCCTCTTGTACCTATTTAACATGTTCAAATGATGCCATCTTTTATCACAGAAACAAGTTGAAACCAGACATTAGAAAAGAACCCAAAAAAAAAAAAAAAGAATACAATTTTTTAAGCGTCAATAAGTGGGAAAAAAATTCATTCATTAACAATTCTGGATACATACAAGTTTGGATGAGCATCGATTCATCAAAGCAACAATGTATATTCTACACTATGTCAATAAAAGAGGAGAATTAGGCAGATTGATGCCATTGGCTACAACATTTGATTGGTTGAAAGTGGTTGCAACCCGACCCCAACCACGACACGTCCTTTTGCTGCCATTTAGTTGAGGCATTGGAGACAACTCAGAAAAAGTAACGAGTTGAGTTCGTCTATGCTTTTTCTCTGAAATCGCAAAAGAAAACAAAACAAAACAAATGAATTAGTATTACAAAACAAAACAAGAAAGAATGGGAAAATAATAAAAGAAAAGAAAAAAAAGTAATAATTACCTACCTCTAGCAATTTGTTCATAACTGTCATGCAATTTTCGTTTAGCCGAATCAAACTTGAGTTGGGATAGCCATTTTTTTGAATCGGAGTTGTTGTCATTGCCGGTGGTAGTGGTAGTACGAGGGGATTTATAGTACTACACAACCAACTCCATCTGCTTACCAATACCATGTTTTTGTAGAGGGACAATATCTTTGCTGCTGCTGATGTTGTTTTTGTGATGGAGAACATCATTGGCAAGATCATCAAGTCCTTGGAAAAATCCAAGATTGTAATATCTTCAGCCAGCTGCAAATCTTGTTCTGTGAAAGGAGGGGCGCAAGGAAGCCCCTTACTTATTCCCATAACCATTCTCTTTCCGAAAGCAACACCGAAGAGAAAGAATCCCTTGTTTCTACGATCGAGAAATCGAATAAGAAATAGCGATTAGTGTGAAATTCCAACTACCTGTCTGCTTCAAATGCTAAGAAAAATATTTTCCTTCTTTTCTGTCTCCCTCTGTCTTATCTATAATACTGGCTTTCCGATTTCCATCAGGAGACGCTTGCCAGCTTGAGATTTAAGCGCCAATTTCAAATTTTGATCTACTTTATTTCAAAACGGCTTAGTTTGACATAGGATTTAAGTGATTTTTTTCCCCTCAGGATGACGGCGATTTTGGGCTTTGTTTTTTCCTTCTTCTAATTTTTTTATAAGCCAGTCCTACGTGGACCATCCTGGGTTGTGAGGCCCAACTCCGCAGGCCCATAAATCATGGGCTTAGTTTTTAATTATTATTTTCTTAACTTATTATTTTTTTCTCTGAAATTATTTGTTTTTCCTAATCAACTTTCACGCCCTTTAAAATGTATAAATAAGCCTTGAAAATATTTTAATCTTTACATAAACTGATTTCTCAAAATAATAAGAAAAATTATGAAGTTTTAAATGCTAGAATTTAGGACAATAGATTTTTTGATTTTCTCTTCTTTTATTTGAAAAGAGAATTATATTTATCTCTTCGTAAACACATAAGCTCATCATTTTTCTCGGCCAATTAAGAAAATTCACTGCTCTTTTATTATCTCGACCAATTAAGAAAATTCACTGTTCTTTTATCTTTACGTAGCATGATTCCACTTAAATTTCGCAAGTTTATTAAATAACAATATATTTACATAACAAATTTAGTAAACATTAAGGAATGCCAAATACAATGAAAGAAAAATTCAATTTTTATTTTTTTATGAAAAGATAGGAAAATAATTAAGAATATTTAACTTTGAAAACAGAGGACGCGAATGGAGAAAAAAACAAAATAAAATCAGTCTAATGCATTTTTTAACAGTTTTCAGCCATGTGTGATGGAAAAAGAAATCTGTAACATCCGGAATTGAAGATTAAAAACAAAGAAGCATTAACAACGACCTCTTACAGTTTTTACATTTCAAAACTTAACCCTGAAAATCCTAAAGAAGAGGATGACAATTTTATATGTACACAGAAGCAGACAATTGGGGTGGCAGGTGGAGTTGGCGTGATGGGGACGACGCGATGTAGATGCAGGCGAATATGCACGGGAATCGGTGTCCAAAGCTAAAGATGCACAGATTAATCCTATGATAGTATACTCTGTTTATTTATGGCTGTTATTCTATTTTGCTCTTGCTGATCAAATCGAAGGCTCTTGTAGATTTACTTCTGCAGTTCTATGGCCTCTGATACTCTTGAGAAAATTGTGCAATTCTGTTTTTAGACAATGAATGATGTTTCTTCTGATTTCAAAAAAGAATGCAGTTTCTACAATCAGGAAACCTGAATCTCTACTATGAAGATCCTCAAGAGCAAAAAAGACATCTATTGATGATGCAATGAATACAACAAATAGTCAGGGCCTATATTATAAGCTAGAATAGCCAATGGCATCCTAAACTCATCTTGAAAAGAACAGCCTGACAAGCACGAAGCTATCTTGAGAAAAGAAGAGCTCCAGCACAAACTTGCTGGCAGCTAAGAATCCTAACAAATCATGCAGGCATACCCAAACATGTACCTCTGGTGCCACATAATGCAGTGCCACATGATGCCTGCAACAAAAATACAATGGAACCGTAACGGTTGGTAACAAAACAAAGATATCCATTATCAGGGTGGTTCATTTACTGGCATCCTGGTTTTGTTTCTGGCGGTTTTCCTCCACAATTCTCTGAAACTCTATCTCACTTGCAGCAATTAGACGCTTCACGACATCAAAAGTGGTAAGCCTAATGCTGCAGCAGAAAAGAGGAAACGAGATTCATGTCAGCAAAGGCGGAAATTTCTAATGAAATCAACTCGTTTTTGCAGTTGGCCCATATCCTTCCATGTACAGAGAACATGTAATATTATTCCAACATCAATTGGACACTGTTACAGTGTCCATGAAATTAAGTTGCACAAACCTAGATGCAGTTGATCCATCCCCAGGACCCTAGAGTACAAATTCAAGATTTCAAAGTGCCTATGGACCAAAACGTTGTCCAAAAGAAAGAATCATGTGCCTTTAAAAGGTATTGTGATACAGGTACACACAATGGATGAGTTGCAGAACCAAATATGGCATGGTTATTCTTAAATGCAGATCCATAATATTTAGATTTTACAGATTTTATATGCCAAATCTCAGTAATACGGATTCAGGTAATTATCAAATGATAAAAAAAAAAAAAAAAAAAACCAGAAGCTTGTCAGCTTCCAAAAAAACAAGACATCATATTGAAGGACGATTCCAGGAACATATATCAGATAATAAAACCGGAATGTAAGTGAACCTGCTATTTGGGAGGTTCTTTAATGCATTGGGCAGAAAACCCCTATACAAGCCAATAACTCCATCACGATGCACAATTCCTGCATCAATAAGACCAAATTATATTCGAATCCTCAGTCTACAAAATAAATTGCAGAAATAAATTAATAGCATGAGAAGATTTTGATTAGATTTAAGATATGTGACCTATATCAAGACTTGAACCTTTACCCAAGAGCCCTTAGGATTTATGCAATACAACTCAAACAAGGGCTACAGCCACATGAAAAATGAAGAGGCAATATTATTTTATAAGACCTATGAAATCTATACTGAGTTGACATATGAGCAATGCATAAGCTGCCTGACATCATTAAGAACCTCATGAGACAGCACAGAATTTGGGAAGCTTGATCCAGTCAGAAATTCGAAACTCGTTTTCTTTTTAATCATATTTGGAGAAATACGCAAAAAAGCAGTCTCATAGATATCTTTAAAATTTCCAAAATCAAGCTATTTGAGAGAAAGAAATGCAGCTCACCAGGCAATTTAATCAAGTTCACCTAGCACGTGATGAGCAAGTAAACATATTTAAAAGCTCTTTCAACTTGAATTAACATTGCCCTGGCAATGGTTAAGACCATAGCATATCATAAGCATACAAACAGATCTAAGGCTCTTTCAACTTGAATTAACATGCCCTTAGGCATTGGCTCAAGATCCGAGTGGCTAGAAGTTACAGTGTTGTGGAGTGAATGATGTGCTCAATAATCAATAATAGATATATGCACTAACAAATGAGAAATGCAAGATAGTTTGATATGTGATTGATGTCCTTTTTTTTTTTTTTTTGGCTGATATTAGCATTTCTTGCAATCTAAGCCGCTCTTAATTGCAGCACCCTCCTTGCCACTCTTATGATTGACTTTCATGCCTATACTCATAGCGATCAACCTTCTCTGTGAGAGCAAATAGTCTTTAGTTCAGTTATGTCTGGGTTGGCTTTCTGAAAATTGGGTATAACAGCTAGCCAATAAAATTATTTATTTTTTTCTATGTCAACTCACTTGCAAAGTGTTAGTGCATTACCACTAGAACCCTTTTACGGTAATTTCAGAGACAAAATAAATATCTCCATGCATATCTGCACTCTATATGTTTGTGCACCTTACCTGGAAAGGCATCCAAAACTGATTTGTAAGGTGTACCCTTCATTTGCATTTGTCTTCTTACTGTATCCAAAGGATAGCATGTGAGTGTTGCAACAGCAGCGGACACAACAGCTGTCAGTAGAGATGATTGAGTCTTCTGTTGATATTTCTCAGGCAATGCCTTCTTCACCCTGTTGTCCAAAGAGAGTAATATCCAACACTCGTTTTATGTTTGTATCCATTTTTGAAAAGGACTAAATAAATAGATAGATAATGAAAGCAGCTCTAGGCATTGGACTCACAAGTCAAAAACGCAAAAGTTCACAGCAATATATGGAGCAATGCCAAGAAGAGAAGGTCCAAGACCATAGTAAAACGATGCAACTCCTTCCTCCCGTAACATTGTTAATGCAATCTGGGTAATCATCAATATTCTTCTGTTCATAAATGATTATGTTGTCATAAAAAGTATTCTAGTAATAATAAATATCATTACCTCAGACATAGTGCGATACCCTGGTTCAACAGCTAAGCGTAATCTCAGGACATCCAAAGGATATGTTACCTGAACAAATGTAACCAGTAAGATACTTTTAAGATTCAAATGCATGTACTACTGATTACATATTACACTTGTTTATATGAAGTAACACAAAATTAGATGTTCAAGCACACAGTAAAACTTTTTAGGAAACAGATTCATATGCTTTCTTAAGCACAAACAGATTATCCCTGAGGTAACCAATTAATTCCCAACAGGTAGCAATTTAATCAAAATTTCCATTTTTATTTTCATTGATGAATTACTCACAAAAGTAGATGTCATGCCTGCACAAGCACCTGCAGCAAGTCTGCCAATAACCGAGAGCTCACCATCCTTTCCCTTAAACAATTTCTACAAATTCACACACAAAACATCAACCAGATGCCTCAAACAATAGTAATTCCAAATACTTGTAACACTCTCCAATAACTTGGTTAATCACGTTATCACTAGTATCACCTTGTAAGTTTCATAAGCAAAGAGCTGGACGGCGCTATAAGGTATGATCCGAATCACCTGAAATATCCATTACAAATCCCAAATCGGAAAACAAAGCCTTACCCTAATTATTCACGAAAGTGAAAGATTGCCAAGTACCTGAGGAAGGTTTCCTTTCCAGTACCCTTTAATTCCTTCTTCTTTCCCTATCATTACTATCGCCTGCAGTTCATTGACCAATAAGCAACTTCATTAAGATAAACAACTTCAAAACATAACCGACATTAAATTTGCTACATACCTCAATGAAACCAATTGCCTTCTTAGCGCTTTCTTGCCCGGCCCGCACTCCATGAGTCTTTAAACACATAAAATCAGTACTAATTAACCTCACTGATAGTGTTACCAGTTAGCAATTACCTTGTTGATAACGGAAACCTCTACAGTTTAACTAAAACATTAAAAAATAATGCCAGATTGCTTTTATTTTTATTTTTTCCCTTTATTCACATAAATAAAGCTACAAATATAATTTGAAGAACTCTAAATTAACTATTTAAAACTCTTTTTTCTAAGTAACCAAACAGCAACATTAACGACACCGTTTGCCACAAAATCAAAGTATCACCACAAAAAACACGTAATCAACACCACCTGCATGAGTAGCTTAATACGGTCAAGCGGAGCCGTGACAGTCTTCGCGGCGGCACCAGCCACAGCTCCAGCGGCAAAAATCGCAGCATCTCTCGGCACATAAGCAAGTATTGCTAACGGATGCTTCAATAGCTGAGCCGAACTCGGCGCGAACTCATTTCTTTTATCTTTCTTAATCTCTGCCATTGAAAGTGAAGCAAAATGACCAAAACTGCCATCACGTCCACCACTCCGGATTCTGCAGCTGAATTGCGGGTTTCTCCACAGAGGTTCGTGGTGGTACGTGGTTTCCGTGAGCGAAGAGTGTGAAGTTTTAAGGTTCGGTAACGTATGGAAGGATAGAATGGCTCTCTCTTCTTCTCTCATGGTTTGAATCGGCAATTTCGAAAGTTTGTTAGGGGTAGACGAAAGGATAAGGTAGAAAGGTAGCTTGCAGAGAGGGAGGGAGAAGAGCAAACAGGAGAGTGATCTCCTGGGATTTTTAAGAACAAAATGCCTTCTGTTTTATTAGTGATTCACTGTGTGCTGGTCTATGGTAGGGATGATGAATCACACCGCACGATTGAGTAGAGATATTTCTAAGTGATAGATAAACTACAATTTAGTTTTAGACCCTATACTTTTCTACATATTTTATTTCATCCTATTTATTATAATTTTACCATATTAACCCTATTTTAAAGATAGATAGTAAAGGGATTTTTTTTAAAAAAAAGTTTTGAAAATTTTAATTTTTTTAAAATTGTATGGGATATTAAATCATGTATGAGATGAATTATTAGGAGGAAAAAAGACAAAGAAATGGGTATTTTCCATTTAGCTTAGGTTTTATTAGTAATTTGTTTGAAAAGTGTAAATAATAGGTGCAAAAAAATGAAATATTGAGAACTTTAGGAGTCAAAATACAGTGTACGCTTTTGCAGTTGTAAGGTCATGGAGCCCCCTGAATGGGTGCTTTGGGGCCTTCTTGGTTGTCAAGCTTTGGCACGTTTTACACGACCAAGTAGTCATGACAATTATTTGTTTTTTATTTTTTTATTTTTTATTTTTGTAATTTTACCCGTTTTTCATATATTTATAATCTGATCAAAATTAATTTTTGAAAACGATCCACACACCGCTTTTTAATTGCGAGATGATGAGACGTGATCCATGTTATTAATTTTTATTAACGATGGAAAACAAAAATTATTTTGACCTTCGTGGGTCAAAAATATTCAGTTTGATTTCAATATTCAGCAATAAATTTTTGCCAATTGACAATTTTAGTCTCAAATTGTCAATTTTTTATATTAATAACGTTAACAGGAAATGATCCACCAATTATGACATTAACCTATAAATTATTGAAATCCATTAATTCTTATAAATAATTTGGAAAAAAGTTGTTGCATTTTTAACTTTTCTAAGGCCGTACATATTTTTTAATTATAGTATTATTCCAACAACTATCCCACTCATGGTACACAAATAAAAGGCCTGCAAAATAATCACTCCCACCAGAGAAAAGGCATGTGTATTATTCTTAAAGAGTGTTTCGTTGGCGCTCTATTATAAAAACTGCAACCCTGGAAATACTTTGGAATTATACCACACCAAACTGTAGGAACAATGTTAGTTGAGTATTTATTTATTTTTTATTATTAGAATATCATTAGGGCTTCAGCTACTCATTTGGTATTATCTGGGTTTTCCTAATCTAAGCAGTATTTAATTTCAAAATTCTTATCATTTCCATCATTCATCAACAAGTTGCTGAACTTCAACTACACAATAGGAGAGAGCAGAGTTAAAAGAAGAAAGAATAAAATAAATTAAACTATTTTTTTTAATAATATCTCTATCTGTTCTTATTTAATAAGATTATTTTTCATTTTGTTATTATATTCATAATTAAATAATTTCATTCTTGAATATACATTAAGGTTTAATATATCATTCTGCCAAGATTTTTAAGTTAAATTAGTGAGATTAGTCACCTAATTTACATATAAAAGTCTTTTATTTGACTAGCTTGTACGGGTATTTGGAGAATAAAAATTAATCAAGTAAAAATCATATAAATAATTATCGTGGTTTGTCTTGAAAGTTTTAACAAAAAATAGATCGAAAACTTAATGTATATTAAAAAATAAAATTAATTTAATTAAAAATATAAAGATAAATTGAAGAATTGGCTGAGTTATTAACTATTTGTTTTTCTTAAGCAGTTCATTTTAAAGAGAAACAGTGACAAGGGATTGCCATGCCTTAATTAGTCCTTTTTGAGTGCTGAATTCTTCAGCTAGAAAGCTATTAACCAAAACAGAGATTCTGACCATGAAAATGCACTCCATAATCTAGCCCCTCTAACGAGATCCAAAGTCTATCTTCAACAAGACTGAATTAAGATACTCCATTGGACAGAGTTAAAGAAATGAAAAGATATAATTGTAAATACATTTACGAAACATTAAAAAATAATAATTGGTCAAATCTTAAAATATGTTATGCAATTGCTGGGCTAATATTTATTTTTTGAAAACCAAAAAATACTCCCCCTCCCCCAAATAACACCGTTGAAAGAAAAATATTACCTAAAGTAACAATATTAATAAAAAAGAAGAAGAAGGGGGTTTGATGCCCTAAATGATGATAAAATACATTCAAAAAGTTCATGGATTTAATTTTCCATTTCTTATTTTCGATTTTCAAAATAGACAATTTTCAAAAGAGTCAAGAGTCTTTTAGCATGAACAAATTGATTTTGAAATGAGAATATATCATGTTTGGCATATCTTTCACACATTCACAAAAATTCCTTGCGATTTCTTTTTTGATCCTTAATTAATATTTTCTTGTTATCACTCCCACATTAGGATAAAAGGGGTTTGAAATGCTGAAGTAGATAGTTCCTCAGATCCAACGAGTTGGAAAAAGAAAAATGAACAACGTTCGTTGACAATAATAGCTAAAATCTAGATCATCATGAATTCATAAAAGTGTAATAAGCTTGCCTTTGTTTTTTTTTTTTTTTTTTTTTTTGGTTTTTTTACATGGTGATGAAATTAAAATAAGTCAATGTCAATCAATAAGTCAATGACGTTGTAGTGGCCAATTGATTATTTTAATTTATGCAATCATCTTTACGTGATCTATAGTCTTTGCATATCAAATTTACTTATGTTATGAACTTAACTTTATATTTGATGTGATGTTAAATTAAATTAGTTTAAAAGGATACGTTTAGGATCCGAGACTGATTTGGTTTTAATAACGATATTTTTTTAGTTTAATTTAGCTCTATTTTTTGAGAGAATGTCACTTAGATTGTTTACTTTTATTGTATTCTAAACTCTGCTTTTAGCCACTTTCTTGCTGGTTCTATTCATTTTAATTTATTGATTGACTTAAAAAAAAAAAGAAGAAGAAGAAGAAGATTTTTTTAATCATCATTATTTTTATTTTATTTTGTTGATGTCACTAACTTTGCATTCTTGCATATTTAACTCTAAATTTGGTATTAAGTGTGGGCCTAGTTTCATTATTTTTAAATGGTAGACTCAACACCCATGTCCTTGTTGATATTTCATATTTAACTCTAAAATTTTAGCAAGATTTATGAATTTTAAATTTTCACTTTTATAGTTGGATGAGTGAATTTGAGCATAACTTCTAAATTTGTTTATTTATTTTATTTTTGCATTTTTTGTTTGGGCTTGGATTATTTAAATGAGTTTGGAGCCCTAACTTCTCTCTCTTCAAATGGGTTCTAAAGGTCCAATAACAATTTAGATGCAAAACTAAATCTTTTTTAAATTTATGAATCACTTTATCTAAGATTGGTTAAAAAATTATATAAAAAAAAACTAAAAGAAATGAGGGTATAACTATTCATTCACTGTAGCTATACACTCAAAGTCCCTATTCATATATGTTTTTTTGGTATCTTGGTCCCTCATTCTTTGAGAGATAAATTAATTAGTCCATTTGGTTCGAAAACTAATTTTTTTTTATCCTTTTCATCATTTAACTATTTTTATTTTTTCTTTTAAGAAATAGAAAAAAATAATTCTTTGGGGAATAAATTAATTAGTCATTTTGGTTTGAAAACTAATTTTTTTTCCTTTTGGCCATTTTCGTTTATCGTAGCAAGTCCCCCCTCTTTTTTTTTTTAACGTTGTTGATTCTTACATATCAAATGTTATATATTAACTTCTTCACTCATGCATCGTTCTCTATTCTCCAATGAATAGACTTTGCAACCTTCGTTGCCTTGAAGGTAACATAATTTGTTGACTAATTTATCCTCTTTTTCAATTATTAAAGTATTTGTAGAACTATTATTATAGCTAATAATTATAACATATTATCATTATATTTTACAAATAAAATAGTAGTGTTTTTTTCTAATGTCTGGCCTCCTTTTTTTTTTTTTTTTTTCAGTTTCTATATTTGTAGGACTATTATTATATGGTCAAATTTATTATTTAGGTCCTTATTTATTAGAAATATATTTTTTTAAATAATAAAATTATTTATAGTTAATAATTATAATAAATTATCATTATATTTTACAAAAAAAATCAAATAAATATTATAAAATAGTTATTTTTATTTTGATTGTGAATAATGTATTTATGCAATGCTTTTTTGTTTTGTTTTTTTTCAACGTCCTCATTTTTTTTTCAGTTTCTATATTTGTAGGACTATTATTATATGATCAAATATATTATTTAGGTCCTTATTTATTAGAAATATATTTTTTAATAATAAAATTATTTATAGTTAATAATTATAATATATTATCATTATATTTTACAAAAAAATCAAATAATTATTATAAAATAGTTATTTGTATTTTGATTGTGAATATTGTATTTATTATACAATATAATGCTTTTTATTATTTTATATTATGATATAAATAATATATCGATATATTATTTGATGAATTTGAATATATATAAAAATTGAGAAGTATTTTAGTAATATAATATATTTGATAATTATACCATATAATTAAATTAATATTACATTGTATTAGTTAAATATTATTTTAAATATATTGGTATAATAATATAATATTTATTAATAAATGATTTATTTAAATATTAGATGACAGTTGTTCCCCTTCTATATAAATATATTTTTTAAATATTTTTTATTATGAAATTAGGTGTGAAAATATATATAAAAAAAAAGATTGTTATTTTTTTTATTTTACGTATAGTTTGACGAGTAATAGAATATATATGATATTTTTTAAAATTTTAGTTTGAACATATATATATATATATATATGATTATATTATTTTCATTATTTAAAATTTATTTCTTCAATTGTTTGTTTCTTATTAAGATTGTCATTGAATTAATTTTTAAATTTTATACGATTTTATTTGTTAATAAATTTGATTTTTTTTATACATGGCTTTTGAAATAAAATTTTAGAATTTGATTGTTTTATTTTTTTAAAAATATATTATTATAATTTATATGATTGATTATTGTTATGATTTTTTTAATGAAAATGACATTGTTACATGTATAAATTTTGATGAGAAAGAGAAAGCTAGAAGTGTGTTTTAGATATTATAATTATTCTAAAAACAACTAAAAGAACTAGGGTTTTTTCTGTTTAGTTACTGTAGCATTTTATTTATTTATTTGTTTTTAGTCCTAGCTTGGAGAAGCGGGCTTCAGCAGTTGGCTCGGCTCATTTTATTGTAGTTTTTTTTTTTTTTTTTAAGGTTGGCTTGGAGAAGCATTTCTTTTTTCTTTTTATGGAGCTAGCCTTGAGAAGCGAGCTCAAGCATGCCTCCATAAGTAGTCAAAACCAACATTTGGTTTCTTTTTTTTTTTTTTTTCCTTCTAATAATTTATTTTTATATTTTTATCATGAAATTAGGTGTGAAAATATAAAAAGGATCATTATTATTTTTTTTGCGTACATTTTTGTGGTAATAGAATATATATAATATTTTTAAAAATTTTAGTTTAAAAATATATATCCGATTATATTATTTTTATTGTTTAAAATTTATTGCTTCAATTGTTTGTTTCTTATTAAAATTCTCATCGAATTAATTTTTTAATTTTATATAATTTTATTTGTTATTAAATTTGATTTTTTATATATGAATTTTGAAATAAAATTTTAGAACTTGATTGTTTTATTTTTTAAAATATATTATTATAATTTATACGATTGATTTTTTTTTTTATGATTTTTAAATGAGAGTAGTGCAATTGCATATATAAATTATGATGAGGGAGAGAGAGGCTAAAAGTGTATTTTAGATAATTTCACTTAATTTTTTTAAAATAATAATTAGTTAAAAAATTAATTTGACTCAATATTTTTTTTAAAATTAATATATATACCAACTAGGCACGACCCTCGCTTTTTTTTTTCTTCCTATAATTTGTTTTATATTTTAAAAAGTCCGAGCACCAATCTCATGATAGAACAAAAAAAAAAGTTGGCTAATTATTTTAAATCTTGATGTGTTTTAGGATTGGATCACCAAGAGGTGAAAGGAAACTCTTAAAAGAATACACATATTGTCATAGTATAACTAGATCTCCAAAAAATGATGTACAAGTTAAGCGGTCATATATAATTGGTCCCTTCACCGCAAAAGAAAACATATATATTATTGATCCCTTTAATGTCTCCGAACCAATATTAATTATATCTTTGATATTGATGTTAACATACATATCCGATTATTTTATTTTTATTGTTTAAATTTTTTTCTTCAATCATTTATTTCTTATTAAATTTCTCATTAATTTAATTTTATTTCTTAATAAATTTGGTTTTTTAATATATGAATTTTGGAATAAAATTTAGAACGTCAATGTTTTAGTTTTTTAAATATATTATTATAGTTTATAGAATGAATTATTTTTATATTAGAGAGAGAGAGAGAGAGAGAGAGAGAGAGAGATAAAAGTATGTTTTATATGGTTTAGCTCAATTTTTTTTAAAATAATAATGAGTTCAAAAAATCTATTGACTTCAATATATTTATACAATTTAGTTAATTTTTTTTCTATGTATTCTATATACTCCGAATCCGTTATATATATATATATATGTGTGTGTGTGTGTGTGTGTGTTTGTGTTTGTGTTATCGGTTTCGTTAGAAATTAACTATATATAGATTCGATTTATATTAATCACAAAAAAATAAAAATTTCTACTTACATTACATCATACAAATCGTTAACCCTATATATGTAATGGCTATCTCGTCCAGCAGCATAGCGCGAGTATCCAACTAATACTCACTAAACTCGCAAATGAGGCTAGACAAATGGACTCAAAGATTAATTAACTTTTACATAAATTTTTTTTTTATAAGTTAGAATTGAGTGATAATCTCATTATAAAGAAACACTACGATAGCTGTGGTCATCTCTAGTCATGTAACCCACTTCTTTAGCCATAAATCTTAAGACTAGTTGGTTAGACTTTTCTTAATTTCCACTTTCAAAAAAACTAAATAAGGGGCTATATATACATTTCAAATCATATGTTTTATGATCCTTAAAACTAAACAGGTGATAATAGTGTTAGAGGTTTATCACTTTCATAGGCAGTTCAATATGTTCATCAAACTATTTCAATATTTATACTCTTTTATTTTTATGTATATTTAATGTTGTTTTGTACTACAATTTTTTAGGATCTCTTTATGGCAGGCATTTCTTACATTGTTAGCATTTGTTCTTGAAAAAGATAAATAAAAACGATCAACAATATAGATTAATCAAATTGCAATCACAAACAAGAAACAGGTTTCATTTATTAATTATGTTGCTACAAAAGTACTGAATAATTAACCCTTGCGCCATATTATATGCCAGCTTCTATATATTGGCATAAGATAACAAAAACTCGGTTGCAAAAACACTCAGAAACCTATACATTACATATGCTGTAGCCTGTCTTCATAAAGCCACAACTAGTCTAACCTTTCTGCTTTGAAGGGAACAAGCAAAATGCAAAATATTGTCTGCTTTCAGGCAGGCCAGGCCAGGTGAAAACAAAATGAAAGAATAACAAATTCATTCAATCTGTTGATGATTTTTTGATGCTGCGATCTTCATTCTGGGAGCAACCATGAAAGGCCAAGCCCTGCGTTCATATTGCACAACATGCCCTCAATCAAGTTATACTGACTTATAATCCTATGTTGTGTGTAGAGAATAAAGGCATTGACAAATTATGAATCGATCTGAACTCACCTATTAAGCTGCGGTGACTCCGGCCGCGGAATTAATGTAACCCAAGTTGATGGCATTTCCTTGGTCTGAATAAAGTAGAATACAAAATTTGAATAATTATATATGGAATGGATTCACAATGGATGAAAGGGATAGATTCTAAATATTTCTTAACTAAGCCTCTTACTGAGTGGTGTTTTGGATACGTAAAAGCATGCTCCAATAACTACGTAGCACAGCAATAGAGCCAATCCTTTCAGGTAATGAGAAGTACCATCCTGTAACAAATAAAGGAATTCGATTTCATTAGACGTTAATGGACTAACATACATAAAATGAGCTATATCCAGTTTTTAGTGAACAAGTCTTGGTTTTATTAACCAGCTAAATTGAAGGATTGGTTTGATATGTTACCTGTAAGGTGAAGGCTGTGGTGATTATGGATATAGCAAGAGCACCAGTCTCAATGAGATTGAAATTAAGATCCATCTTAATGCCCAATATCCAAGCAACAGTTACACAAAGTGGAACCTGAAAGTCATAAAGCATATATTAGTTAAGTCAGACTTTTCGATTTTTCGAAAAGAAGAAAGGTTAGGTCGAAAGATACCCTTTTGAGTTTTAATTATGAAACTTACCACAAACATAGCAATTTGAGTTGCTGAACCTAGTGCAACACCCAAAGATATATCCAATTTGTTTTTAAAAGCAAAAATGACTGCTCCAGCATGTTCAGCTGCATTTCCAACAATTGGCAGCAAGATAATGCTAATGAAGCTGACAGAAAGGCCCCAAGATTCTGAAGCATCCTGCGAGATCAGAAGGCATTTTTTTTTTCATTTCATGCCACAGTAATATTAAAAGTAATTAAAAAGTTTACTTTCACAAGATCCTAGATTAATAGTTTAGTAATTACCTCGATTGTGCCCACAACATATTCTGACAACAAGGCTATGACAGCAGTCATTCCAACCAACCAAACTATTCCACTCCAGATTCCCATCACTGGTGTTTCTTCTGAAACATCAGCATCATCTTCCTCGGATTCCTGATGAGTTGCGCCATATGATTAACAAGCTAATCTAATTAACTTGAAGAAACTTCAAATGCATTCTAATTTCAAGTCTGGTTTTGCTTTTAGTTAAAGATTTAATTGGATCACACACCATTCAGAAGGAAAAAGGATAATTAGACTAATCACCTCTTGTGCTTCAAATAGTTGCCGGTGTGTCACTAATTGAAAAATAATGTATGCAATGTATGCAATCAGCATTACAATGCTGCTTGCTCTCGACAACTGCAGCGTTGGGACGGCCGTGAGGGCGGCGGAGCCTCCAGAAATCCGAAACAAAAGTGGCAGCATATGGCACAGCAATGCCAAAAGCAGAAGCAGCGCGTTCACGTCAGCTTGTCTCTGTTCATTCATTTAAAACCATGCCAATGTTATTATCAAACTTTGGCCTTGATATGATTAGAAGAAGAGGAATTCAGGACTAATTAATGGACATTTCAGATTACAACAGCCAGCTTACCCGATCATATTTTTGTTCCTGTCCAAGGTTGGCAATGCCACCACAAAAGAGAGAGGTGCCAAGAACCAAAAGTAGGTTCGATAGTATAGAACCCAAGAGTGAATATTTCACCAATTCTATTTTGTGTTGCCAGAGTGCAAAAATAGCTATTATCAACTCTGTAGCATTACCGCATGTTGCATTTAGTAGTCCTCCCACTGAAAAAACAAAGATACATAAAAAGGAATTAAATTTCATGGTTCCCTTTAAGTTTCCTTCAATAATTATGCAAGATTACAAGCCCAATTCCAGTAAAGTTTCTCATGATCAACCGTATACGAGTGCACCGGTTCGGTTGGAGACTGACCGGCTTAGGATTCTTATTTGCAAGGCTAAAAATGCCAGTTAGGATCAATAAAAATATTGGTTAACCAATATTTCATGGGGGTGGGCACATTGCCTTTTTTGTGGGTGCAAATTAGGTATGTCCAAATACAATGCAAATCATATTTACTTCTTTCTGATCATGAGGATCTTTCAAACAATTAACAAATAAGTTTGGCTAGAAAGATTAGGGATTATAATAAAGTGAAGAATTTCTTATCCTGTTAAAGTGGTAGGTCACTCAAAGAAAATGACATAGGAACAAGCTTTTTGATGATAATAGACAATAGAAGAGGTAGATAGTCTTTTCAGTTGGAAGGTTGTATTCCACATGGAATCTGAATCATATACCACCAAGACCATAAGTTTTTGTATTTTTCTTGTCACGAGAAAGCTTACAATCGAATGGATCCCATCATTTTTTTTTCATTAATTTATTTAGATTCCTGAACCTGAATGATTTACAAGACCATTCTAAACCGATTTTTCAATTACTAATTCAATAATTTGAGGTTGAAATGTTGGCTTCTTTTACAGCATTTGAATATTTTATGCTACCATGCACAAAGTTATTTATTTATTTATTTATTTATTTATCAGATTTGACTTCCACTCCTTTTAATTATAGCACCAAATTATCGGATATATTGAAGATAGGTAAATAAGATTTGAGGGATCGATCAATACCTGTTGGACCGGTGAAATAAGCAATTTGCCTGCCATTTTTTGAAATACCAACCAAACCAAAGGGAAAAAAATGATCAATATTCCAATTCTACTGGTAGTTTGGTTATTTATAAGATTGAAAAATCAATCAATAGTATATAATAAATGATCCCCTTACTCTGTCAAAAAGCTAACACGTTCGGCAAGTGGCGTCAGTCCAAGTAAGCTCAAAGCAAAAACCCAGGGCTGTGCACATGAAATCATAAGCACTGTTAGATTGAAACCAATAAAGGAAATAACTCAGCAGATTAATCTGTCCAAGAACTCTTATTTCTTATAAATGGCAATATTAGCAAGCCTAGATAATGTCTTTTGGTCTTTTGGTCATGCTAGCATAGTTATTAGTTGATATTGAAATTTAACATTATCAAATAAACAATATAGAAATTTAACAATTTCACTCATTGCTTTAAAGAACCCTCGGTTATATCGTTTTTCTTTTTGAATATACTTACAGATAATGAGGCATTTTCGAATCGGTTATTAACATTCAAGTGTAAGTGCAACAACATATTTATCCTTTAATTATATATTGAATTAATGTGCTGATCACTTGATCAATTCCAATTAATATATCACCATTTCCATTTGAGAAATACTTTGTTAAATCAACATAGAAAAGTAAGATGATTTGATCTCATAAAAATGAGCGATCAAGATCACCTCACAAGCCGAAGTTTCCAAACCTTTCTCTATTTTTATGCAAACCCTAAAAAGCAACTGAAATATACAGAAATGAATACTTACTCTTCCAAAACCATAGCATTGAGCAGCAATGGCTAGTGGAATGGCAGGAAAAAGAACAGAAAGTTTAGTCCCCAAAATGACCTCTTGTAGGTTAGTTAACAAGTGTCTAAGCATTCCACATCGAACTTTTGATACAAGAGTGAGGTCTGATTTTTTGCGCAAAGATGAGGATGACATGTTGTGTGCAGTCCTGCCATGTCTCATCTCCTTGCTCGTGCCCTTAAGGTTGCCATTCTCCAAAAGCCATGGTTCTTGCAGTGAAGCCATGTTGGGTTTGCAACAAAACAAATTATCGATATCACTAAATCGTAAGAAGCAAAGCAAGACAGTAGTGGTGTGCGTTTTTTCTTCTTCTGTCTTAGTGCTGTTCAAAGGGTTAGAGATACTTTATAAATAGGAGATGACATACGTTTTTTTGGTATGCACGTCGGGAAGGAACCTTCCTCGAAATTTCCTATTTTGTTTTCCTATTTTAGGCAGAAGGGCCATGTGGCTAATATACAATACTTTTAACTAGTTTTTTTTTTTTTTTTTTTTTACGTTATATTATAGATTAAACTAAATATATTTATTTTAATTTGATAATATGTATTGTACTGTCGATTAAAGAAAATATATTAAATTAAAAATTTCATAAAATTTTATAGTTTTTAATAAAAATTTTGTATTTAATTTTTTTGTATGTTTTTAATAAATTTTGTAGTTAAAAAACATAATTTTTTATTTCTTATGTATTTTTTCTTAAATAAAAACTCATAATAATATAAATTTTGATATAAATTTTTTTAAAAAATATCTTAATAATTTTTTTATGCCATTTCCTCGAAGAAATAAAGCAATAATTAATATAAAAACTTATATAAAAAATAAAAAATTAATTTTTTTATTCTTATTTAATACTGATCATAATATTAACTTTTTGAAAATATTTATATTTGATTTATATTTATTTATTTACAAAAATACCGAATAATATTAGTATAAAAGTTATATTTAAATTATTAGATGATTCTTCTAAAATATTATTTTTAATTAATTGATTTGAAAGAGTTTAATTTTAAAACATTAAAAAAAAGGTATGGTTGGTGTTATGTGGGTAGATGTATAGTTAATTTTTAATAAAATCAATTATCCTAATTTTTTTATACGTCATGACCATACTTAGAAGGTTAGAGTGTGTAACATAAATTGAAAAATATTTTTAAAAAATTTAAGTTGTAAAAAATATATTAAAGTTAATAGAGTGCAATAAAAGCAACTAAAAAACTAATTTTGATAAAATTTGATTATATAAAGATTAAACGAATAAAACATGTGAATTTTACTTTTAAAATTTGATTATATAAAAAATATGCAAATAAAAACAACTAAAAAAAACTTATTCGCAAATCCATATATAGAGAAAATAAATTGTATTTGTTAACCAATAAAATTTCATAAAAAAATATTTTAGAAAAAATTAGAAACCAAAGTGCAATTAATATTTGTCAAAATTTACTTATTAAATACCTAAACATAGGTCCAAAATTACAAAAATATTATATCAAATACCTAAATAAGGATTCAATATCAAAATAATGTAATTTAATATACCATATCAAATGCCTAAATAAAACTTAAAAATCACAATAATGCCATTTAATACAATAATATTAAATGAATAGTGCTTATAAATGTAGATGAATAGTAAGTGAATAGCAAAGTGAGTGTGGATGAATAGTAAGTAAATAGTAACCACTCCTAATCTTTTAGGTTTTTTTTATATATATATATAATAATTAACGGTTACGTTTTTTGTTGAAAAATTACTAATAATTTTTTTCTTTTTTTGTCACCATCGTCAATAGAGATGGTGGTGGTATACTAAAAATAATGATAATGATCAAGGAATAATAATAATAATAATAATATATTTTTTTTAACTTTTCTTATCACCACCACAAATGTTGGTGAAGGTGGAGATAATGGTTGTGGTAAAAGTAATTGATACACAATAAGAAATAATAATATATTATTATTTTGAAAAAAATTATTCTTATTTTTGTTTTCATTTCTATTTCTAATATGAAAATAAAATTATGTTTAATTTTCATTCACATTCTCATTCTTCAATCTCATTTCCACTTCATTGCTTTCAAACAAACACGTACAAAATTTATATAAAACTTTCATTTTTATTTTCACCATTTTGTTTCTCGTTATAAATTAGTTCTTAGTGTCAAGGTCCCAAAATATGATTTATATTATATAAATCCATCTTTATTTTGTGTTTAATTAAAAGTTTAACCTATTAGGTGAGGTTTCGGAAAATATAATTTATATGTGCACAAACCACTATTACTTCGTGTTTAATTAAAAGAGAAAGTAGAGGTTGTAATATTTAAATTCGTGATCGTTTGATTATATATTAAGACTCTAATATTATACCAAAAAACTATTTTAACTCAAAAACTTAAATTTTTGAATAAGATATATTACTTTTTGAAATTTAATAAGATTTATATTAAAAATTGGTAAACAATAATGTGCGAGTAAACATATATAATTATAAGACTATAGAATATTGATTTTAATATTAGTGTCGGTATATATATTTTTAGTGTAGATACCCAAGATCGAACCATGTTTGGATAGATTTGAGTTATTGTATTATTGCATTATTTATATCATTTATAATAAAAGAAGTCTTTCTATTAATTCTTATCATTTACATTTATTGATTGAATAGAATTAGATAGAAGTCCATATAATATGCATTTGTATTAGTGATTGGTTGAAAGATGTGAGACAAATACTAATGCACATAAATGATATCATTAAATATCCCAAGTCGTAGCATTGTAAAAAATGGATATTGACAATATGTGATTATACTTGTGAGTGCTATACGATAACGAGTAGGAGATCTCACATCTATTAGCATGATGATGCCAAAGCAAGCACTTAGGTAATTTATGTTAGAAAATATATCACTAGACTTAACTTGCCATGAGAACTCATTTGGTTTAGTCTATGGGTATCTCATATTAGATGGGTACAACTAGTCATTTGATTTGAAGTATCACTGTTATCTCATTAGAGGATTTATGCACTTTGACACTCGTTTTGATAAAGACAAGTAAATGGTTGCACATAGACGATTCGTTGGGTACACTAAGAATCTAATGGAGGTAGGTGGATGACTAAGATATGACATGTCATTCTTTATATGCTAAAGGAGTTATCACATTGCATTTCAACGAATGTCCGTTCAAGAAATCTATGGCCATAGTATGAGTACACCAATAGAGCGTAGTTGATTTACTTCGGGAGCTAAGATATTTGAGAATCGAAGAAAATTTGTGAGATCATAATCGAACAAGACTTATAACCAAATTCGAGATCACACTATGATAAGCTAACATGAAGATCGAATTGTATGGTAGCTATGCTCGTGAAAGGTAATAACAGATTAATTAACACTCCTAGAGAATTGGGTAATCATGATGTCTTGCTAAAGACCAATATTGACTTATATATTAAGAGATAAAAGAGGTGTCTTTTGTTCTTGATGCATTGCCAACATGTCTAAGAGCCTATTGAGTCACACGCATAAGTTTAAGAATTCATATAATTAAAAATAATCAAAGATATTGAAAAAAGTTTTAGTTTTGAAAGTTTCCTATTTTGAAAAGGGTTTTCGAAAATGGAAAGTTTTCTAAAATGAAAATTTTTCTATTTTAGAAATTAGTTTCATAATTTGAAAATTAATTCCAAATTTGGAAGTAAATAATCTAAAATAAAAATGAGTTTCCTAATTTAAGTTTAAGGGTATTTTGAAAAATTAGTTCCTAGCATGGACCGCCTAAAATTATCTAATTTAATTTATTCGGATAGTCTAAATTAATTAATTCGACCAAAATAGTTTTGGGTCAATAAGTTTAATTAAAAACCTAAAAGATAATTTGATGGAAGGATAAACATGAACCTTATTGGATAAGAATGAATATTTTATAGATAAAGGTCAAAAGCCCACATGTTAAATAATTCATAATCTTTATAGGATTAGGAAGTAACAACCAAGAGTCTAATAAGGACTAGTTGCCGCCCTCTCTCCTTATCTTTGAAGGATAAGGAAACTCTCCCCCTATAAATAGAAGGAGAGGTGCGGCAAAAGGTATGTTTTGGAGGAGAGAGAAAATTTGACAAAGAGATTAAATTAAAAAGGGCATACGGCAAAGAAAAAAATAACAAGGAGAAAATTATTTTCTCCTTAACCCTAGCACGCCACCTTTCTTCTCTCTCTCTTAAGTTGTCGCAAAATTACCCGGATTAGATTTCTATAGAAAACACTAAAAAAATTAGAAAAGGTGGAGTTAATACTCTATCAATTTTGAGTGCTTCTTTGTAATTGTTTGAATCTGCGTGGATAATCAATAGAGGTCGGACGCTTGTACGGCTTCTTTTTCCGTCAAAGAATTTAGATCGGTGCTACAAGGTAAATTTTCTATTTATCGCTTTAATTCATGAATATATGGTTAATTAATTTAACTATATGATCTTGGACTCTTTAGATCGAGGAAAATTTTGTTTTATTCCCCTTCTTTATAGGACACATGATCTTTCATATATGTGGCGGGTTTTTCTTTTTGTAGGGGATTAAAATAAGCGAGTTCCTTCAATAAATTATGCAAATATCTATGTTGTCGTTGACAGGAATAATTTTAAACTTTAAACACTAGACAATACAGTTTCAAATGCTGTATATGTAAAATGAAATAATTAATCAATGCCTTTGTATATCATATTAGGATTTAGATGTAACAAAAAAAATAAAAATAAAAAACATTAGCTACGTAGGATTTAGAGATATGAGTGTACTTTCTACAAACAATACCTATTCGGTTATTGGTAAATTATTGCCTTTAGATCTATAATAATATTTGATTTCTAAATAAAGCAAGTGAGTAATTAGTTGTGTTGTCAGTTATGAAAAAAGAAAAGGAAACAAAGAGAGGCTAAATCAGATCGGAAAAGGGAAGATATATTTGCAATAAAATTAAGAGTAAATAGCTCAATTTGTTTTTATATAATAGCTAGTTCAAATATGCAATTTGTCTTTATATTTTTAATTGTATTTATTATGTTTATAAATAATGTTTAGGTCTCCAATCTATTTTTTTTTAATGAATTGATAGTTGAGACTCAAATTGAGTTTTGTTATTTAATTTATTTATCAAGAAATTTGTTATATCTTAGACTGTATAAGGAGGGTAATTTTCTTTTTTCATTACTTAAATAAATTAAAGTCATTAAAATTCAAACATATTTGTTAAAAAAATGCTACCGTACACACATTTAATATATCCACGTATGTCCTCAAATTGAGTTCTCAAGCCCCTACTACTAATCAACTTAATTTCTAATAATATAGCATTTCTGATGAATTTTATGAGAATATTATTGCAGTATGTACAAGTTAATTAAATGACTTACACAAGTACTCTTTTGATGAATATTGTAAGAATATTAATGCTAATATGATAAATTTTATATTATTCATGACGTTTTGAAAGAGAGAGCATGATTGGAATAGAAAGGCAAAAAAAAGTAAATTATATAAATTACTTTTTTTATTTTTAAGAAATAAATTAATTAGTCTCTTTATTTCAAAAACTAACTATTTACTCTCTTAACTAGTGTTAACTAAGCTTATTTTAATTCATAAAATGTTATTTTTTCCTTGTCAATCATTCATTTTTTTTTTCTATTTCTTAAAGCAAAAAATCAAAATAAATTGAAAATGATTAAGTTACAAATATATATATATATATATATATATATATATATGAGCTAAATAATTATTTTTTGAAATAAGGACTAATTATTTTATTTCTCAAAACTAGAGTTACTAATTTTATAATTTACTCGTAAAAAAAAAGGTTTTAAGAATTTATTGTCTTTATTGAATCAATAAATCTTTATTTATTTGTAATCAATAAACTTATCATAGATACACTTAATCTACTAATTACAGTTTTAATTTTTTTTTTTTAATTTTCTTGTTCCATAAAATGCAAACCTACATGCATTATTCATTACAATCAAACAATGAATCAATAAATCACATAATTAATCATCCAAAACAAATGTAAAATATTCAAAATACTACATCAACACATAAAAAGAACCAAAGTTGTTTCCTTTATTTTCATATATATATATATAGAGAGAGAGAGAGAGAGAGAGAGAGAGAATTTACAGAATGCACATAAAAACATGATAGACTTTTATTATTTAAAAAAAAAAGTAAAAAAGACAAACTTAAAATTAACACAATTATCGCATACCGAACGGAAAACCCATAATAAGATACAACAAAGAGTAAATATCAAATTTAACTTCCACGCCTTAAAGGCAGAATTCAGGGTGCGAATTTAAAGGATTAATAGACATTAATTTACCAAATTAAATAAGAAATTTGGTGAATGTGTTGTTAGAATATAAAGAATATAAAGGATAACTACAGTGTGTGTGTGTGTTAAAATATGATTGCGTGTGTGTGTTAAAATATGATTGCACAAATAATTTAAATTTATTAACATAAAAATTTATGAAAAAAAAACTTTGTTAAAAAGTTTCTATCCAAAACAATTAAAATATTCCAAATTTTTATACCAAAAAAATTAGTGAACGTTTGATATTTGGGTTTTTAAGTATGAAAATTTTATTTTAGGGTATAATGGATTAAAAATATATAAATGAGTTTTTTTAGACAGAAATATTTTTGGGTTTTCCGTATATTTGGACTATGTAATCTTTAATTTCTTTTTTATGGAAACGCTATATTTGTATCTTTTTTTTTTTTTGGTTTGATAACTTTTTATTTTTTGAAATTTTTTACTTTTGACGTTGTAATGCTACTAATGAGTGATTAACACGTTACTTTTATTTTTCAAAATTTTTTACTTTACAATATTATGTATAGATATTATTGATAGCATTATAGAGGGTCTGAAGTAAAAAAATTTGAAAGGTAGATCTTACTCTATAATACCGCATGAGATTTTGATTGGTAATATTATATAGTGTAAGTAAAATAAATTTTGAAAAATAGAAGTTTTCAATCAAATTTTTTTTTTTTTTAAAAAAAAACGAAGAATCTGATCCACTTTCTCATTAAGCCAAGGATATGAAATAAATTAGATTGATTTTACGATCAAAAGTAAAAGAGTCCAAATTCGGAGAAAATCATTTCATAATTATACTATAAATAAAACCCCTAAAAAAGGATAGTTAAATTCCACACTCTATCTGCTATTACCAAAAAAAGAAAAAAAGTTCCATACTCTGCTGCATCTAGAATCTACGCTACTACCATTTGTCGAATATCTTCCAATTTGAATTAATGAGCACGAGTCAAAAATCTTTATGCAGATGGCTAACAACTTTCCAAAACCATATCAAAAATGGAAAAAATAAATAAATAATAATAAGTCAGGCAAAATTAATGAAGTCCAGAGTCTTCATGTTTCCAAGTTAACACGGCCAAGAAAAATCTTAAGACATGGGATGTGGTGAGGAGAGATGGAGTTGTGTGTCCTGCCAATATGAACCCACCTTTCACTGTCAGTTTGTTGTATGTTGCTGAAAGACTTGTCTTTTATGAAAATACTGGTTTATATATACATTTGGGCTTGTGTGTCAATTTCCTTCCTATTTTGTGATGATAACTTCGAGTTGGCAAATATCTGATGTATATCACCATTGAAAGAGAAGGCCGAAGTACAAGTTGCCGTACTTAACTGGGACTGTGTAGGAAGCTTCATGGAAACTTCCCTTCAAAAAATCTAAGAAACTTAGTGGTTATGGTATGGGTGCTGCTTGGTAACGTTTCATGCCAAAGATGACAAACCACTACTTGTATTACGGTACTTATAGGAGGGAAGGAAAATTTTGCCACGACAAGTAAATCCCAGCTAAATCTTCATCACATTAGGCATCATTAATGATACTGAAACGGAAAAAATAAAAAAATAAAAAAACACGCCGTCTGTGGGGATCGAACCCACGACCACATGGTTAAAAGCCATGCGCTCTACCTCTGAGCTAAGACGGCTTGACCTCCATAGGAGATTTGATATTTTTAATTTCTTTTATAAACTTTAGTAACCATGAATAATGGCTTATAGTCACCACGAGACTTAAACATACTTTTCTGATTTTAAAAAATTGAGGAGCTTGAGATCTTCCGTTTAAGATCAATTCATATTTATTAAAGATAGTTAACGAGTAGTCAGTTTTGAATATATATATATATATACATATATAAAACTTCGGTTACCATGTCATAGGATAGCATTCCATTTTCACTTGGGAAAATCAAAGAATAAAATCATTTTTATTTAATGTTGGAATTAGGCAGCATATTTCTCATGCCAATATTCTATGCATATTGAATATAGATTCATAATTTCCAATCCAATTTAAAAGGAGATTATTATCCATATTGAAACATGGAGAAGAGATGAGTAACTTATAGAACTTTATATTTGGTATCGGTAATTATAATAATTTAAATCACTTTTGACTTGGTATCAATTCAATATAGCAAGTGGCCGTGTTTAATATTCTCCATTTTTTAAATTATTTTGGGTTCAAGAAAAGACATCAAGAACTAAATTTCTTGGAAATATACAAAATTAATGTTATTAAACTATGCCTTAGGGTTCTTAAACAAATAATTATAAGAAAGACCTATAAATACACCTTTATGTATGTATTATATGTAATTTCATTCATATCTTTGTAATTTTTTTTTTAATTTCAATTCTCAAGTTTTGATTTTTTTTTCTCTCTTTTTAATTGGCTATAGTTACTTGAGAGTATAAAATGCTGATATATCTGGATGAGCTACCACATGATTGATATATATATATATATATATTGGGTTTAAAATTTAATGGAAAAAAAGACAAATAATTATATTTAAAGCTATGCATAAACTAAAAGTTATTATTGACTGATTTTTTTTTTTTAATGTAAAAGTATGATTTAAAAAACATATAATATATAAGATTATATTGATCGATTTTCCTGAAATCATAACACTTGCATTTTAAATTTTATTACAGAGTCATCATATAATATTTATATTTAATAACATCTACCTGGTCTCAAGAATCTATTTTTGAACCCTATACTATCAAAAGAAATAAAAGAAAAAAGATTAATCCATTTGAACCCTAGAAAGCAGTAAAAAAGAGCAAAAGTAAGCCTTGGTAGCATGAAATTCTTGAGACTAGATGTGTGACCAACCGATTTCAAAATTAGCAAAAGGCCAAGTGAAGGAAGGTAGATAGAAATTTCCAATGAACAGTGTTGGGATTAAGCCTTCCAAAGGCCTATAAATTTACCACTGAAGCAAGTTGACAAATCCATGGTCGAACGAAGATTAATTGCCGAACTGAAATCTCTCTTCCTACTTTCGGTACTCTTAAGACAACAGTCGTTTGTTTTTCTAGTTAACTACTTTCTCAGTTGTCATTTTACATTTTGCATTGCTAAGAGAAATGATTTTTCTCCTTTTTTTATTAATTATTATGTTGGCTATCATGTGATCTGTCAGGTAGGTAAAAAGAAGTTTTTCCTCAACACGTCTTCGCACAAAATCTTTCGAAGGGCTTCGGTGGGTCTACTAGCTGGTTGACTGAAAATTTTCCGAGGAAGTTTTTACACCAGGCATCGGATCCCCAGGGTATGCAATTATAAAAATTTTTACTACTTACTATGAGAAAGTTTTACCGGAGTTTTCTAGTTCCCGTTAGGAACTGAAGTTTTACGATCTACTTCTTCTGCTATTCATTAAAAAAAAATTCCTCTGCCCTCACTGAAAAACAGTACCGACATGCATACATGACAACATATATATACATATTGAACAAGGTATCAGAGATGAAGGTAATATAAAATTATTTTTAAGGTTTAATCTAATATTTAAAATTTTTGGATTAAAATAGCTTTTTTTAATATGGTATAATCAAAATTTTATTTCATTAACCAAAACAATCATGAATTGAAATTCTGTAATATCTTCATTTTATCTAAAATCTTAAAATTTTAAAGTAAAAATCATTAATTGTTATGTCATATTAGTATTTTTATACAATTAAAATAATTTGAATCCTATATCATCTTCATGGAAAGATATATATATATATATATATATATATATATATATATATATATATATATATATATATATTTTTCACAAGGTATTAGAGAAGTAATATAAAATCATTATTAAAGTTTTATCGAATATTAATTGAAAATTTTTTGGATTAAAATAGTTTTTTAACATGGGATAATTAAAGTGTCATTGACAAAAACAGATTACGAATTCTAATATCAATATCATCACCACATCTAACTGTTTAAATTTTAGATTAAAATATTTTTTAATGCAAAATATGATTATTATTTTTACAATTTTATCTACATGATGCAGGTGCAAATATATTTGAGTGGTAAAATAATTGTTGGTTTATTTTTTTGGAATGAAACAAACATTGTAGTTTTTTTTTTTAATTTTATTTTCTTTGCATTTGCTCTATAATTCTCTTCGGCCGGAGTCATGTGCGAGGTGATGAATATAAGGCAATTATAAAGAGAAAAATAGAATTTTTGTTGTTGTTTGTCTTGATCAATACATGCCAAAGTTTATACATAATACACAGTATACTGGACAAAACAGCTTCCTATAATTGTTCCTTTTTTATCACTTCACACCACAAGCACCCCTTTTGTACTACTCTCATCCAAATCTTTCATAACGGCAACCTTAGGGTATCCCACCGGCCACTTCCAAATGTTTGCCCACATGCATGTGTCTTGAAGACATGCAGCTTCTGCGAAACTTCCTCCCTCCCTTACTTTTGGTAATAATATTACTTCCGAATTTTTCTAATTTTTTTATTCTTGAGGAAGCTGATAGGCACAGTAGACATGGTTATTTTTCCTTAAATAATTATTAAAAAAATTTAAAAAATCTAACTGAAAAAAACTACGTAGATACACAATTTTCAGGGTAAGCCTTTTTATCGGTACTCTGGGTTAACATCTAACATCCCAATTTTTGAAACAAAAACCCACACTTATTGATGGGTTTGTGATGATAAAGTTGTCGGAATGCTTGAAATGTTAACTATTGGTAACATTTATTCTCACATCTCTTGTTGGAAGTCCATTTATTTTCAATGGATCGGTTTTTTTTTTTTTTGGGTAGGCAGAGGGATATATAGATATATACTATAGTTATCGAATTATTTATGATTATTCAGTTTAGATATAAAAATCAGAGCCATTTTATGGGGGAATCGTTGATGCCCATAATTTACAAGAAGACAAGTTTCTGCGAGGATAGATTTTGTAATAAAAATACACACGCAGACGACAATAATTACGATTTCATGCAATTTCCTCGAAGTTTCCTCTTCCGATGAGGGCTACACAAAAACGGCAGGCAGGTACCACCGTTTTTGTTTGCATTCCTTGTAATCGAGGGATGCTTCTTTTGTGACCAGTGCTTCAAAACAGCTTGGGTCATGTCATTTCAGGCTGAGGTAAGGTACGAAAGGGTAGGATATTTCTGCCTGTCAATTTGGGTATTCAATGAGTGGTTCAAAACATACACACTACGAAGTAGTACTCAACAGCTTCTAAAACCGACCATTTCTCTAGTTGAATTCGTTATATGTCACAACTGAAGTATCTTTCGGACTTGGTGGAAATTAAAGTACAATGAAAATGAAAGAGAAGCTACACAGAAACCCAACCTCAGCTAAATCGAAGAATTAATGTGACTTTGTTTGATCTGCAACAAATATTCTTTAAAAACCTAATGATCGGAGAACTAACACTGCTACTGTTAGAGATCAAGTATAAATTATATTCTAAGACCTCACCTATTAGCTTAAGCTTTTAGGTAAGATTGATCCTTTAATATGGTATCGTAGCTCGATTAACCTCGAGATCATAAGTTCAAGTCTCACCATCCCCAATTTATCAAATATTAAGCACAATGCAATGTGGACTGCATGCAAGTTTCATGTCCCAAATGTTGGACCTTTCACTCGAGAGAGTGTGTTAAAGACTAGTATAAATTATATTCTAAGCGCCTCACCTATCAACTTAAGCTTTTAGATAAGATGGTCCTTTAATAACTACAAGACATAAAGCTTAACCAAAGTATTTTTATGGAAAAATAAAAATAAAAAAATAATGCCCGTGTTAGACATACACTAACCATACGATTAGGGTTCTTCTTTAGTGGTTCAGAAATAAGCATGCAATTTCATCAATAACAATATTGAAAAATATGGAATACATATATTCGTTTTTTTTTAATTTGATTTATTTTCAAATTTCAAAATTTTTAAATTTTCTTATAGACAGAATTTCAAAAATAAATTATTTTTTCGGGAAAAATAATAAAGTTTTGAAAGGAAAAACTTCCAACAAAATATTCCTTCGATAATAATTTATTTATGAAAACTAACGCGGAACAAAAATTCCATTACTTTTTCTTTAATTATTTTTATTTCAATTTTTCATATTTTTCTAAAGTTAGTTATCTTTTATTTAATTAGGCAAGTGTTATTAGGAAATTTATACTCTATGATTCTATTTTTATTTTGTTTTATTTTCCTATTTATTATTATTAGGTTTCTAGTATTTTTTTTTTTTTAATTTAAAAAGTTGTAATAGCCTCATAAGAGAACTGGTGTTGAATTAATAAAATTGTGATATCTTGGGTGTTTCTCTACAACCATATATGTCTGTATTTTTTTATTTAGAAAGTTTTTGAGAATTAACAAACCTCATTATTTTGCTATCTGCCACACCATTTGATATTAGAACAGGTTGGGCTGACTGATGGACGGCGTTAGAGCAAACACTCTAGTGACACGACTCAAATGAGGTTTCTATTCCTACAAATCTATATAAGCATTATTAATGTCAATGTAGAGAATTGCGTATACAAAAACGGTGCACTGCACACTTAACAGCTTGTAGTCAGCCTTTTCATATATAGATCTGATTTCGATGAAATTCCTTTTTTTTTTTTTTTTTTTTTTATGGAAATTTCTTGATTCAAGATTTTGCGCAGTAATTGTTAGATATCGAAGCTTATTTCAAGTTCAAGAAAACTTGAATAGGAGAACTAGCAAGATAGAAACTTGTTGGTGATGCCAAAAGATGGTGGTATGATCATACTGAAATTTTTAGAAAGCTCAAGCCTGTAATTCGTCGTGGTACGTATATTTTGAGAAAACTGTTGATTTTGAAAATTTATGCCAATCATTATTACGAAGAGCCGAATGAAATTTAACTATGAAACTTCCATTGAAGTGTTATTAAATCCAACGCCAAATAGAGAATTTAATGTGGGATATGTGAGCATGAAGCATGCATGTATGATGTATCTAAGACTAACCATAACATGCAAGTGACAGTAATGATGCAGTCAATTGTGAAGGAACCTAACCATGCTAATGTGCTTCTACAAGCCAATGTAGTCGTTCAAAGGACGGTTCATGACTAAATTGATAAAGTTAAGGACCAAATTGTCAAAAAGAAGATACATGTGGTCTAAATAATGGGTTGATTGGCATTGTCCCCCAAACCAGCTGTATTGTTGATGAAGACTTCAAAGAAGTAAGAGAAAAATCTACATGCAAGGAAGTTTTACAGTAGCTCATGCATGAGGATTCTGAAGGAATTCACATGGAAATTTTCAGCATTAAAGGCATCAACATTCATGGTATATGTACAAAGTATTTCCCTTTTTTCTCAAAAAAAGGATATACTTAATTGTTAATATTCTTCTAAAATTAGTTAATGTTTATCTAATTAGGAAAATTTTATTAGAAAATTAGTATTATAGAATTCTATTTTTATTTTTATTTTGTTTTCTATTTATTATTATTAGAGTTTTTTTAGTTTTCCTATTTAAAAGGCTGTAACAGCCTTATGGCAAAATACATATTGAATTTAAAATGGTCCTTCTAAAAAATTATACCAAAAAAAAAAAAAGTTGATTATGTCTGATTAATTATACCAAAAATCCAATGTCTCAATTCGAGTAATCCAATGCAAAAAAAGTTACCATCTTTTGGTTGAGAACGGGACATAAAGCACAACCAAAAAAACCAACTACAGCTTCTATGATTACATATAAAACACAATTCACTGCAGAGTCTCTTGATAAAATATGGAGTTTCTGTGAAATAAACAAGAATACAAGATCATGTACAAAATCTGCTCCTTTGTTGGCCAATCCATCAGCAGCTGAATTGGCTTCCCTATATACATGACGCACAGTAATCTCCCAATCTCGTCTCAGAAGCCTTCTCTGGAGACACAGTAATTTCCCTTTAGAGCATGAGGTCCTTGACCTGGTTTATTAGAGATAAGGAGGTCATAAACAGACTTAAAGAGTCTTTAACTCCAGCTGCACTCTACAAATCCAAAAATCCCAAGCCATTTCCAACCTTATTTCGACAGCCCACAACTCTGCTCTAAAAGTTGTAGACCAAAGCAACACGAGCAGCGAATCCAATAAAAACAAATAAAAAAAAAACAGCCCATACAGTCCCGTAGCAATCCTCCAGCCCCAGAAGGGCAAGGATTACATCTGCTAGATCCATCAATATTCAATTTGAACCAGCTTTGGCTTGGGGGAAACCAATGAACGTTGTCAACAACAGCAGGTTGAGAAATATGAGTATGAATTGAGTGTCAGGCAGCAACAGTTTTCAGCAGTAGCCATATCAAGTATTCTGCAAGCCAATTATATCTGAAGTGACATATATCAGGAGTGAGTTTATATCAGTAATCGTCCTCAGATGGTTAAAGAAAGATTGCTGATGCAATTTAAACAACTAAACCCTTACAGTTAAGACGGAAAATCCATTTTAAATACAAAGTTGGAAAATTCCCTTTTTTAGTACACCTTTACAGAATGAGCTCAACTGCCCTTTTCTGCGTCCCTTGAGCACATGAAAAATCTACTGGAAAAACATCAAAGAGAAGTCTAACTGAAGCCACTACAGTTAATTGATGCAACGGCTGATTATCTTCTCAACCGAGTCATAACAGACTAACAGTTGCTGGGTTCTACTAGGAACTGGATTCAACTTTTAACTCTATTTGGTCTCCTGACACTTGACCTTTGGGTGTGATAAAATAAACACGGGATCCAAGATGCTTCACTTGAAGCCCGGCGCTCTCACAACCATCAAAGAAAAGAGATTCATCCTCCTTGCCAATTCTACGTCTCCAACTCATTAAAAATGCTGGACTAGGCAACCTGATATGTGTTCCTGCTAATGTCAGACCAAAAATAATCATCAAAATAATGATGTGGCAATTCTACTTTCCCATACGTGAAATTGAGAGCATAGTACCTTCATTCTGCTCATTGTCCATGATAGAGCCTGCTCTGTCATTTTTCAGCTTGTAAGATTCGAGAAGAAAGGAAAGAGTTTTTATCAAGTTTGGATACTGTTTAACATCTGCATGGAATAGAGAAAAGTAATATCTTACCAAATTTCTTAAAAGAGAAAAGGATGCAAGAAATTGAAAGTGAATTTTAAATCAAATATGGACCAATTCCAATATGACCAGAATATCAATTTCTTGACCATCAAACATGACATGTTATGTTACAAGACAGAATACTAAATTATTGTTCTCTACAATTACACAAAAACTGTTCTGCTTGCTCGAGTCACTTTGCAATATTCTTCTATTTTTCCTTATCTAAAAGAAATTCGTTTATATGGAGTTCGTAGGAAGAAACATAAAAGACACCAAAACAACAATGAAGCAAATATAATTTTAATTTTCAAGGAAGAAAGTTACTACTCCATAACAAAAGAACTTTTGACAAAGGGGGGCAAAACTTAAAGGGGCAGCATCAACTATGAAACAAGAATGACCGATGAAGTTGGGTACCCATAAAATGAAAAACCATTTATTTATTCTAAACCGTCGGATAATTGCACCATCAAGAAGGAACTTTCATGGTTAATAATGATGCATGTATATCAACAAGAAACTTAATTTTCTTTTTTGGGTTTCTATCTTCCTACTTTACAGGGTCATGATTTCATTGCTTTTCTTGAATGGTGTTTTCAATCCGAAAAATAAAATCTCAATCAGAGAATTAATTAAATCCAGTAACTTTTCATTTCCATAAGGGGCATTATCAAATATGCAGGTGATATAGACTAGAAACTTACACAATAAGATATCACTAGCAATAACCAGGTCCCAGTCAGGATCAGCAGCTGGAAAGGTGTCCCCCCAAGAATCTAGATATACAGAAACATTCTAGTTTAATATAGTCCAGTCCCACAAAAATCATATAAAATGAAAAATACAACAAATGATGAACAATTAAATGAGTGCTATGAACTAACAAGACGATTAAAAGTTTTACATCTATAAAAGAAACCAGTAGCATATTCCAGTCATGCTGACGGTTACTATGCCTCCTATAATCATCACAAAGAAAGGAGGCCACCATATGGAGGATCACACCCACCTGATGGCCTGGATAGGATCATCTGGAAGAGATTATGACAACCACCTTATCTGTCAAGTTGACTCACAACGAACATTTACTTTCTTTCCCATATGTACAAGAAAGTTAGGAACCTGAAGGCCATATGTATGCTAACTAGAGTCTATTGAATGATTACAGGTATTATCTTTCTTTGGTAGCTAGAAGGTGAGGCAACTCACGCCTAATGTGAGGAAGGACAGGTGTGACTCCATTCACTCTGCAATTATGAGCTATGTTTTCTTCAATTTCCTGATCATTATAGTCTGATGTTGTGATGTCAAGATGGAATGATTTACGAAGAAAAATGGCCAAAGCTCCAGTGCCACTGCACAAATAGAAGTGTCCATTTCAGCAAGAGAAACATTAAGTTTTAAAGTTATAAACATTCGAAGCAGTCGGTAAATTATTGGGTAAGACAAAATTTAAAGTGTTCAATTGAAAGTAGCACAAGACAAATTGTGATGCAGCTTGAAGAAAAAGAGGCTGCAGTTAATAATCTGAAACAGAATACGAGGGTTACACCTTGAGCCATCGCTTTAAGGCTCAAATTTCCGAGTCAATGGCCAATTGTAGGGAACTCAAGGGGCACATATACAAGAGTTGATCACAAGTGTTGGGCAAAAAAATATATTTATTTAACCTGATTAGAAAACAGAATGCCTTCCAATTAAAATCCCCAAAAAAAAAAAAAAAAAAAAAAATAGAAATAGAAATAGATTGACGTTGATGCATGGCAAACCAATCAATTTGAAGTAAGGCCAAACATGAAACGCTAGAGAAGGTAAAAAAATAGGATTGGAACCATGAATTACGAACTCAATATCACATTTGGTGGAAGAAGGTTGAGCAATAGTACTGAAATCTAATACCGTCCAAGATAAGGAGGAAAATAATACCTGCCCAATTCAATGCAACGCCGCCCTTCAACAAATGATCTGTTTTGAACTAACCATTCTGCAAATGCAAATGTCCCTGGCCAGAGCAAATTAGCATTCAACTGGTGAAAAGAGAATTCTCTAATGAGCAACTCCTGCATACAAGTCAAAAAGAATGTCAGGTTTTCCTCGGTCTTAACAAGTAACATCCTTTAAATATAGCAATCACTCTTTTGCTTTGCCATTGTTATAAAACCACAACACCAAAACATCATGGGCTACACCCTTATACAAGAAACCACCCAAACTTGCATGCAAAAAACTCAATCTGTTCAAATCCCAAACAATATATTATTGTAAATAAATGAACTCAATTTGAAAAACATGTTTTATTAGCAAATAGTAAGTAGGCACTATTATCTAGCCAACCCAGCTCCTACTCAATAAATCATTCTCTACATGATCTTATATTCAAATGGCAAAGACCCAATGCCAAAACTTCAATCTTTTTACAAGGAAGAAGACAAAGAGAGATAAAAACTCTACCTCCTTAGCAGAATTTGCACTATTTAACAAACCAAACTCAGCCCAGTTCAGTAATAATACTAATAAATCAACAAAACTTACCATTCCAGGAAAACTGTGCCTCCTCTCCACATGGCTCTCTTGCGTCTTCTTTGTTTCCTCTTCTAAACAGAAGATAAAAAACTAAAAACCCCTTTCACATAAATTAAACCATAAACATGTGCAATATAAAGCAAAGGAGCTATCTCAAAACGGGATTGAGAGGAAGTACCAATGGAGTCATCATCATCGTCCGCGAAAAGTGAAGACGGGGAGAATAGAGCAATGTCCATTTTCTTTCCTGTCAGCTGCTGTACCTGCTGGGTGGTACATCATTCATCAGTGAGGTTTCCGATTTTTGGGTCTGTGTAACATTGGATTTAAAGCCTCTGGGCCAGATTTAGTGGGCTAAATGACCTAGTCTGGCCATCCGACATAAGATTTCTGACATTGTAAATAGACTTCTTGAAATTGGCAAAGAATATTAATGGGTAATTAATTTTTAGGTTTAATAGCAAAAATTGCCGCAAACTATTGCCGCAAACTATTGGGTTGCGTTATAGTAATTTAAAGTTAATACTATCAATTTGATTTATTTAAATTCTAAACTATTATTTTCTGAATAATGTCATCATCAACGGTTAGCTAGAATATAGTTTAATAGCATAAATTTATTTTCAAACTATTGTAGTTATCAATTTGAATTATGTAAACTCTAAATTATTAATTCCTTGACAAATTTTATTATTTTTTTATTCTTTTTTACAGTTAGAGTATTGACTGTTAACTAAAGTTAGGTGATGTTTGATAAAATTTAAAATTAAATGTTGAATATGTTAAGTACTAAATTTTAAATGTTGAATAATTAAGTATCGAATATGTTATCGATAAGTCTGTTTGGTATTCATTAAAAATTAAGTGTTGAATATAATAAAATTGTTTGATAAGTATTGTTATTGAACATATTAATGCTATATACATAACAATTTTAATCTTACAATTGTAATATGATTTTTTTAACACAAACTCAAATTAAAAACAGTTAACATGATTCTTTGAAAACTAATTATTTTTTGCCGACATGTTAATCAAAAATGAAAAAAAAATTCAATTGAAAATTAATTTATATGTCAATTTAAATTATGTAATGGCATATATAGTGCTAAAAAAAATCTCAATTTGCTTCATTGATTCATTTGGATTTTTTTTTAATCAATTATCAATACACACTCCTAGTCATCATTATAGGATTGGGGTTCATGGTTCAAGCTTCTCCAACCCCTTCTGATCAAGCTAACAGACTTTTTATGTAAACACATGGACTTTATTACAGCACCATTGCCCACAAGATTATCTATCAGTCTGTTCTTGGATCATTAGATCACGTGAAACCCAGATATGGGACCTTCCCCCCAATCATCATGGGATCATGGGTTACAAGGGCAGATGTAAAATTTGCTGGGTTCATCATATTCTTTGTTCTTTCGGTTTTTTATTTCAACATCAATGATGGCTATCAAAGTTCTAAATATAGCTACCAAGTATGGATCCTTCAAAAACTATCTGCAGATTCCATCCTTTCTTCTCCAGCTCCAGTCTCAATACATTGATTCTCTTACTGTTTTAATCAAAATCAAAGTTTCCCAAGCATGATGCAGATCGATACTCCACAATTGTGTTATTCCTTGGCCGAAACCAAAACTCAACACATCGACTAGCCCTAAAATAGGACTCTGGTATTTCGTGTGCACATAATCATCGTTCTTCTCCATAATCTTTGGTGTAAATTTCTCTGGTTCTGTTGATCTAATCACATCAAGAAGTTCTTCCCTTTTTTTTTTTTTTTTTTTTTTTTTTAATTACTGGGAGTGTTCACCCTGATTCATTTAGATTGAATTGAAACTAAAATGAAAAAAAAAATTTAAATAATACCGACAACAACCTAAGGGTTATAAAAATATACAAAGATTATATAGTTATATTTTAAAAAATTTAAATACCTTTCAATCGAGCGTATTAATCAAAAAGTAATAAAAGAGTGTTTGATAACCTATTTCGAGTAGCTTAAAAAATTAAGTTATAGTACTTAATATAAAAAGTTTGTTTGTTGATCTAAATAATCTGATATTTAAAATTTTAATTAAGTTAAAATTTACTTAATTAGGTAAGTTAAAGTTTTCAACTTAAAACTTTTTTATTAATACGTTCAATTGAATTTTTTAAAAAAACTTTTAAAAAATTATCATATGATTCTCATATATTCTTATAACCTTAGTTATATAAATTAATTGAAAAACGATTTTTATTATTTTCATTGTCGAAACAGATAAGATCTTCTGTATTATTGATGCTTACATCTCATCATTGTTAACAAGTTATTAGTCAGGAAGAAAACCAAGAAAGCAACTCTTTTGTCTCCCCACCATGAATTTCAACATCGCAAATCCCACGACAGGATGCCAGAAAAAGCTCAAAATAAACGATGACTAGAAGCTTCGGGCATTTTTTGACAAGAGGATCTCGCAAGAGGTCAGCGGAGATGCTCTTAGGAGAGAAATTTAAGGGCTATGTCTTCAAAATGATGGGAGGTTGTGATAAGCAAGGATTTCCCATGAAGCAAGGAGCGCTAACCCTTGGCCGTGTTCGTATCTTGCTTCATAGAGGGACCCCCTGCTTCCATGGATATGGAAGGCGCAATGGAGAACGCAGGAGGAACTCTGTGCGTGGGATCACCATGATGGCATCACACCTTTTCACGGAATTTAAGATTTGTGTGTTCCGCAAAATTTTCACCGAATGCTACAAAACACACTATATTATACAATTTGGTAAATTGATTATTGGATGCACTCATTTAACAACTGGACAACATACAATCACTTTCGGTAATTGTATAATTGAATTTTTTACTATAATACAACAAATATTTTACAGATTTCAGTTACAGTTTTGCTAAGGGATCGACCATAAAAACTATATGTAGACTTTGTAAGATAGGCAACGTGCCAAATGGTGCCAATTGACATGGTTCATCTGACCACTCACCAATATATATGATGAAAACCTTTCGGTATTCACACTTAAGGTACTGATGCATACATCTATAAATTTGTAATTTACTTCATTTTCCAATGGAGTATACTTGCCAACGAATGGAATGTGCCCCTTAGTTAAAAGAATTAATAATACTTGATATTTCATTTATTTTATGCATGATACGACAATTAATGTTATCTTAAACCGTGTTTAATTTTTTTATTAATAATGATTTTTATTGAATTTTTATTTATTTACACACACACACACACACACACACACACACACACACACACACTATATATATATATATATATATATATATATATATATATATATATATATATATATATATATATATATATATATATATATATATATATATTTGTGTTAAAAAAAATATCATATTACAATTGTAAAATTAAAATTGTCATTTATATAGCTTTAATATGTTCGAAACAATTCTTGTCAAACAACTTTATTATATTCAGTATTTAATTTTCGGTAAATACCAAATAGCTTGTCGATAACATATTCCGTACTTAATTTATTCGAGATTTAAAATTTAGTACTTAACGTATTCGATACTTAATTTTCAGCTTTATCAAACATCATCTAAGTTAAAAACTTTAACTTATCTAATTAAGTAGATTTTGACTAAACATAAATTTTTAATATGAGATTATTTAGGTTATCAAACAAACTTTTTATATTAAGTACCATAACTTCATTTTTTAAGCTACTTAAATAGGTTTGAAAGAAGAGATATTAATTATCGCAGCTTAAGCTATAATTCATTGTTTAATAATCGGTAATCTTTTATGGTACAACTATGGAGCATCAATTTGAAATATCTCATATATCCGTATCCAGTTCAATGTTGATATGACACTATTTGGATAAAAAAAATTCTCACGCATTTTTAAAATTAATAAAAATAAAAATATTATTTTGTATAGTTATGAAAAGTATTAAAAAATTTTTTAGTGTTAATTGATTTATGTATACTTATATATTGGATGTATTATTTCATATGCTATTTTAAGAATTTTTTCACTCTCATATCTCCTTGTATATATTTATTTTCTCTCATATGCTATTGTATCTCTTTGTGGATGAAAATGCCCTACAACCATTAAAAGAAAAATTATTTTTGAAAAGCCTAAAAAATACAAACGAACGTCAAAATAAATAAATAAATAAAAGCTTAAAAAACCTAAAAATATAAAAACATTAAAAAAAATTAGAAAAAGGGGAAAATCGCAAAATCTAAAAATAATGATAATAACTTGTAAAATCCATAAAAAAAAAATGATAAAATCATGTTCATATAACCTCATGGAAATATGTCTATGACAACAAAATAAGTTTGCAAGAGTTGATTTTTCTAGTTTTTTATGAGTCACCAATGTTATATATATATATATATTATTCTTTAGATGTTCCAAGTTTGTAGGTTTCTAGACTTTTTAGTTATTTTATTTTATTTCCTATGTTTTTCAAGTTTTGTGAAGTTTTTGAATTATATATATATATATATATATATATATATATATATATATGTTTCTTATGTTTTGAAAATTAAATTTCATTTTGATAATATAAGGGGTATTTTTGAAAACTATAGCAAAAGAGCTTTATAAAATAAAGAAAGAGGCTTTTTCAAGTGCTCAACATTTGATATTTTTTTTTCTATTTTGGTGCACAACCATTGATTTCTTATGATTTGCTATCGAAGTTTTAATTTTTTATTTGTTTTGGTGCCAAAGTTCACCTAAGGTCCAATTTCATTGACGTGTCTAGCGAGAGCTCGCCATGTGACAATCAACTCTAAATATATCAACACTTCATTCTCTCATATGGCTATGGGCATTGAAATAGGAAAAAAAAAGATTAGGCACCAAAAATAAAATTTTTCAAGAAATTTATTGTCTCGAGATTGGAAAATTAGTCCAATAATTTTTAATAAATATTTTTCATATCATGCTCTTGGCATTTTTTTTTTTACTTATCAATGATAATTTTTGTACTCGATATTAGTTAAATTTTACTTTTTAAAATACTAAACCCTTTTACTTGTCTAGACAAATTTAATATTACGTCATTTAGTTTAAATATATATAAGGTCCAATTATGATTAAATTAAAAAAATAAAAGACATATAAGGTCCAATTATGATTTTCATTTGCGGAACAATTGATCGGCTAATGAAAAAGTTGTAAAACAAAAATTGCTTTGCTCCCTCTAAGGAGAAGATTGACTAGAATATCATAAGTAACATAAACTTTCTACATCCAATAACTTGCTGAACTTTTTATACTAAGCCGAGATGGGATAGAATCGATATGAATGAGTTTAGTGATTAAACTTTTTGATTTGGATGTTTAAAGTGTAGTATTTTTTTGTAGCAGTTGACAATAATAATAAAGGTAATAAGTAAATTATGAAATAAGCTAAAAAGTGAATACATTGTTAGAATTGTTTGTGCAATTAGCACAATAACAAGAAAATATGCACGTATGTAATTACTCATATTCTTAGAATTTAAAACTCGTATAACTTTCAATATTAAAAAGGAAGTTTTGAGAGATCATATGCAACACTCCGGACCTATGACGTAGATAGGCCAAGAGTATTACAAGCATTAACTTACATTCGAAATGCGATGATATGCAAGCCAATAAACATATTTTCTTAATATTTCCAATTTAGTACCAAAGTAGGCATTTTCATATGAGGTCCCTAATTAATAAGATATAATAGGTTCTTATTAAATAAAACTTAGATATAAAATTTTTCAAAAATTCAACTAACAACAATCAATATTCCTACATCATATATAGAAATATTAAATGCCATATTTTGGTCCAAAATCCATATTCTCGAAATCCAAATTAATCATTAAAATAAAATACCTTATATTAAACTAATTTAAACCATGTCTCTTATTTTTCCTAAGTTCTTTTTAGAAATTCATTTAAAATTTAATTTAGGATTATTTCATTTCCAAATATTTTATACCATAAATTAGGATTATTGACATTATTTCCATATCAAAAATAATTTAATTGTCATGTATTGCGTTTAACTAGAAAATAATCAATGAATAGTAACCCACTAAATCAAGATTTAATACCATTATTTTTATAAAAAGTCCATAGGTTAGGAATTCATTCCATAAATTCAATAAAGCATTTAATAAATTCATTAAGACTTTTAACTAAAGTTTTGGCCATTTAAAACATTTTTAGGACTTATAGAACTTTGGTTCCTAACTTATTTAAAACTAACCCATTGAATGTATTTATTTATTAACCATTAATTTCATTTTATGCCTTGACCTTACTAACTCTCTTTGCCTTACCATTTCAATTCTATACTTTTTATCATTAATTCATTAGTTACTAAATTAAGTAATCATCTACTTAAACCTTTATTTTGCTTTTCTTTAGGCCATTCTAACTAATTAAATGACCAATTAATTCATTAAGTTAACTAATAGAACAATACTTAACATAATATCTTTACTAAACATTCAAACCATATCATTTATTATGACAAATCATATTTGCTTAATTTATCACCAATATACATAACTAAAAATTAAGTTAAGCAAAGTTAAGTTTCCTCAATCATTTTACTTAGTAAGCATAGATATGACAAGTCTTTAACATTTCTCCGTGACTAATGTGGCGATTTGTTTACATTCTTTTCTCAATAATTAGCCTTGTTTTAGAGTATAATATAAGTAGTTTTTGCTAAAATACTTATTTATTTTGTGTTAATTTGAGTTTATTTAAGTTTATTGATCTTTTTATTATCCTATAGGTTTTTAGGTGACGATTTGGATGGACAATTAGCAGATTTGACATGGTGACCAATTGAGCAAAATGTGTTTTTCTCGAAGTCCAACATTTGATTCCCGTCAAAATTGTGTGCCTATCATATTTTGGTTATAACTTGGGCTACGACATCCAAATTAAGTGATCTTGAACTCTTTAGAAAGCCAACAAACGGACATATATATATATATATATATAACTATTATGAAGAGTAAAAAGCTCATTTTCGAAGACTTAAGAGTCAAAACGAGGCTACAAGTCGAAGTCGAATCTATCTAGTAAGTTTTCAATAAAAGTGCATGTTCCGTTCGCAGTTCATAACTTAGGCTATAGTAGTCTAATTGATGAAATCCTAGTTTCCTTGGAAAGCTAAAATCCGACCCTACAATTCTTATGAGACACCAACTCAAGATGAAGTTGTTTTAATGGTAAAAATCAAATTCAAACGAGCGTAAAGAAATCTTTTACATAAAAGGAAACAAACTCTAACAATGAAGGAGCGAAATCAAGAGAAGATAATCAAAGGGCGTGAATATGGATAAGGAGGATGACAAATTAGGGTTTTTTAATAGATTGGGGAGTCTATAAGAGAGGGGAGAGGTCAAAATTAGGAAAGGGGGGGAGAACGTGAAGAAGGAGGAGAAGAAGAGAATGGAGTACTCGTCACCTTTGAGTTTCAATGAGTTCTTCTTGTCTTCTTCACTATTTTAATCTTTTTGTGATAAAAATCATGTTGGTTAGCTAAAATTTTAAGTCTCAAGGTTAGGATGTAATTATGAATTTTTTAATATGATTTGAACCATTATTGAGTTGAATATTTCCTATTTAATATAATTTGGTGAATTCGTTTTTCAAGCTCGCAAACTAACTAGCCATTAGTTGCATGTCTAAGGTATCAAATGAAGTTGCGAAAGTGGAAGTTTGATATTAGTTTGTGGATTCTCTAATTATTGTTTTTCTTTGTCACGAAAATAGATAATACCGAGTGAGGTTAATTGAAGAATTCTAAAAAACATTAACGAAGTTACATTGATTGCTATGATCATAAAAGTAAACATAGTGTTAATGTGGCTAAAGTGTTGAGTCTTGAAAAAGATCATCACATACATTAGGGAATTCAACCATTGTAGGAAATAAAAGAGATT